GTTGTCATTTATAATCTAAAACATTAAATTAAATATGAGAGCCAAAAACGATGTGCATGATATCAAGTATTTTCAAATTTTTTTATTCTAAGCCATTCGTTCTACCAAATATGACTCTTAACTATTGACATTATGGGTATTGTAATTAAGCAATATATACATATTTTAAATAATTTTTGACAATTCAATAATACATTTAACTAACAACTAGATATTGGTTAATTTTGCTTAATTTTTCACATTATTAATTATCGAGGACTGTAGTGGTTAAGCGTTCATTACCGAATGGTTGTGAAATTTTACTTTATTAGTACGATCGTAATAAAGAATTAATTGTTCTTTGGGCAACGTAAAGTGGTCTCATTTATAATAATAAGATTCACTCAGCTTGCCTTTTTTTTACGAAATACTCAAGCAACATTAATATTTATGATAAAAGGCTGACTTTGATATTCGTAAAAGAAATGATCAACTTGGAACAATTTATTGTTCGACATAGCAACGCATATTACCGAGAGTAAGCCGAAATAAATTAAAATAAAATTTGATTTAAAATTCCAGGGCTATAAAAAATAATATAATAAGTATTTACAACGAAGTGCACTTCCAGTTTAGAGAAATTACGAAAGTATTCTCGACGGATATAGCTTTTTAAATGAAACGTCAATTCCGAGAACACGTTATACGCTTTCTTATAACTGCTCAAGTCCTGCGCGGTTCTTAATATACGTCTGAATTCTGTTATTTTCAGGATAAACCCGCGCGATCCTAGAGTTTTGACGTATTAATAAATGGCATAAGTTATTGTAAAATTGTAAGGTCGCCAATTGCTCGTGCGGGCCGGTTAGTGTTCAATTTCGTTAGCCTCGCTTTGGAAAGGTCTGAGGAGAATTAACGAAAGAGCCAATAATATTAGCAAGTAATAGTAGCATTCGCGGGTGCCGTAACGAGTGAATGATACTTCGATGAGGCTAGATTAGTTGTGAACCTGGGGAGTTAATAAATATTTAACAAGCTGCTCGGATAACGAGGGAATCCTTGCAATGTTGGAGGCGTCAGAGAATGCGCCGCATCGAAGGAACTTACACGCGCATTTATTGGATGGTGCGCGGATAATTGTCTTGAAGAAAATTAAACCGAAGTCACGTTAATAATGTAATCCGGTTGGGTCGGCATTATTCCGCAACTGCCGGGGCGATGATGGACGAGCGTATGGACGCGATCCCCAACAGTGCGCTAACTCAATCAGCCCGGGAGTACGCTAGCGATGCTGCTCGGATTAATTACCGCCCGTTTAATGGGCCACTGCTGAATGACCATTTCCATCGGATCTCGCCTCTACGCCCCCCTCCCCCCGCCCCTCCCCCCACTTCTTTCAATCCCGTACTGACAAACCCTCTTTCTCCTTCCTCCCACCCCCCAGCCCTCATCCAGCGCACGCCGCTTCGCGAGAAATTCGAATGGCCGACCGCTACCGTTGCAACAACCGCAGCACCGTCAAGGACTTACACTACGGCCAATAAGCTTTGTTTTCATCTAATCCGTTACATTGCCTCTCCCGTTCTTTATTCACGATTGGAAAGCGACTCGATCCGCGGATTTCCACACGACGGGCGACTGATTGTGAACGGAAAATCGTGAGAATTTGCGACGAAAAATCCAATGACGGCTATGTATTTGGCCCTCTCCGACGAGGCTAAGGAGTCGATAAGTAGCCGGTAGGAAGGGTAGAGGGGGGGGGGAGGCTCTCGAGGCTTCATTTAGCTGCAGCGGGTTCCCTTTCAGGTTTCGGCCTCGCAATCGCCTTTTTCTTTTCCTGATTCCCGGTACTCGCTTATCTCGGCCTCGAGGCGCACCGCTCTTGGTTTTCGACTGCCTTTCCTTTTATTTCGCATCCGTCATTCCCTCCGCTCGAACGCCTCGGCTCCTCGCACCCATTCGTTAATTCCATTTAGGATACGCGCGATTTTCTCCTCGCTCCCCCCCCCCCCCCCCTCCCCCCCCCCCCCCCGTCCTCAAACCCCCTTCCAATATACCCATCGTCATCCTCCTCCTCAACCCCGTCGCTATCCCCATCACCCCTTTCCTTCCCCTCATCCACCCTCATCGCCCATTCCGTTCACTTCTCATAAATAAATGCAAAATGCAATTTAACTCCGAGAATCAGAGCTCCGCGGTAGAGAGGAAAAAAAGGAGGAGCCAAGGAAGGCAGAAAGAAGTGGATGCGCGCGCACACACGCGGTCAAAAACTTGGAAGAATGTGTATACAATACAAACAGCCGCAAATTTCTCAACACTATTATTAAGCTTATCAGATGTTACACTGAGTCTGGCGTGGCGAGCAATCAGCTCAAAAAAAAAAAAAAAAAAAAAAAAAAAAAAAAAAAAAAAAAAAAAATGGCCGCTTATTCGATCCTTCGATCGAGATAATGAAGGAACTTGCACACGATATTAGAGCTACTCGGAGGCGATTATTTTTACTCGGAACCGGCAGACTCGCATAGATCGAAGCTTTGACACGCAGTGCGTTTACGGAGGAAACTTTCCTCCCCTCATAGACGGCCTATCGCACATTTTCCGCGAACAGCAATATACAGCTTTCCGCCAGCCATAACGCAACGCCTTAAGCACCCAGAGGTTCGTGATGCTTCGTTAGCCGTTGCACCGATTGATCGATTCGCAGCCCCTCCTGCCATCCCCCCCCCCAATCGCCCTACCTGCCACGACCCCTCGCCGATTAGTCCCCCGAGATAACGAGCAAGTACTAGTCCCACGCTGCCAACGCCCCCTCTAAACACAAAATAACGACTTTTTGCCCCGACTGCCTTTCACGACTCTTTCATTCGCTCGTTTGTAAGTGCTAGAGCCGATGCCGTTCACTCCTTTATTCTCGCGTTCCTCAAATAACGCCAACAATTCGCAGCCCCTACTACACTAATCAATCCTACTGCATTAGGCCAGCCACTATTCATTTTCCTTTCTTCTCGATGATATGTCATCATTCAGATCCACATTTCAATCAAGCAATTAACGCTTACGAGGTTATTAAAATACAGAATGCAAAGTATTTATCGAATAACTGATACTTAATACATGACTTAAGTATTCGAAGATCATCCCAAAAGCATCGGCAATGCGTAAATTATGCTATTTCGTTGTTAATCGTTATGCGTATTTCATTTTGACGAGTTTCCAACTGTTGTTTCATGTCATGCTGCATAGATCATATCGATCAAATGCAAAGAAGATCATAAATAAGTGAATTGGGTATTTTTACGAAAGATAGATTTTGCGTGGAGTCGATTATAAAGGCTCTAATATGTTTACACGAGTCAACTGTCGATTGGAAACATTTGCTGTCTTAATCCGCCTATGAGTTCCGATAAGTTAAATTGAAAGGAATAAAATAAAAATACCAATTATAGACATTTTTTTATAAATTCGTTTGAAGTTTCCCCACAATATTTTATATAAAGTCAGATCATTTATTCGAGATAATAAGGCATAATTTTTGAGCATTTATTCCAACTAAATATCTTATTAATCAGAATGATCCCTATGTTCTCTTATTCTCGATCAATTTTTAAATGAGTGACTCGTATTGTGAAACTAAGTGATATACAAACTTCGTAATCCTGAAAATTAAAACTCAAACGCAATATTTCATGATATTTCAAGTTTTAATTTTTCATTGCATAAATTTAAAGGAATTTTTGCAAGGAACATTTTGCTACCTAGATGAACAAAAAAAAAAAAAAAAAAAAAAAAAAAAAAAAAAAAAGAAAAGAAAGAAAGAAAAATAGGAAACTTAATACCCATTTAGAATTAATTTTATTAATTTTTCGATAATTTACATACTCAGCCATACTTATTAATAATTGGATAAATTATTCGCTCAAATAAATATATATTAATATGTGCGACTATATGCCGGAAGATCGCTATACTATGTCGATTCGCCAATTCGGAAATTGTGATAAATCTGGTATCGTCGGGATCATTGAGTTGAAAAATAATACATCCGATTCAGAGATATTATCTTATATCTATTATATTGAAATATATTTATTCATATTACAAAGTAATGCGAGCTTAGATAATTCTCTCTCAAGACCAACAAAGACAATTTTAATTTCAATATTTCACAACAGCATTATCAATTACATAAAACTGTACATTTAATCATTATCATTTCTCTCCTTAATAACTCTTCTTAACAACATTTCAGAAGTGTTAGTCGAATCTCATTGATATTATAACGCACTACAAAGGTATAAAGTTTACGTAATAAATCAAGTATTACAACAGTAATACCAGGTCTGGTTGGGCGAACGAGGCAAACCTGAATTCTTCTTTACTGACACACGTGAATTTATGGTCGCGTTCAGTGCCTTATAATGCTTGAAAAATAACAACAACAACAACAACAACAATAATAATAATAATAATAATAATAATAATAATAATAATAATAATAATGATAATAATGAAGAAAGAAAACAAAAAGAAAAAAAAAGAAGAAAAAAAAGCACGCAACTTGCATAATGGACGGTGAGTGATGAGAGATGACGTTAGTACCGGATGGCCGTCGGAAAATAAACGATTTCCAAGACGAGATGAGACGAATGCTGCCGCTAATCAGATCGCCTTTGCTAAGCTCGCGGCGGAAAATCGCACTAATGCCGAAGAAGTGCAGGAGCAACACAAACCCGAGCCACTTCCTGGGAGCGTAATCACGAACCCGCGCATTAACGGGCCAATACAGAGGTCCGCTCGTAGGCTTACGCACGCATACGCATCACTGAGTCCAATCGATAATTGCCGGCTAGGGAAGCGGTTAGGAGGAATTGCGGAGGGGTCCGACAATCGTTTCCAACGAAGCCGGCAATTACCCACCTTTGCGCGAACACATTGAGCACAATAAGCACAGAGAGCACCTCGCGAGCACACGGATACCGAGCTACGGGATTCGAGGGTTCGGACTAATAGAGCATACTCACCGGCTAGCCTGTCCTTGAGGTGCGGATGGGCCTGCAGTGGATGGGTCGCCAGGTTGGCGAGAAAACGCGCTGTCTGTAAACCCGCGGCCGCCGCCTGCTGCTGCTGGCTGAGGCTCATCGGTTGGAGGCCCCAGGGAGGCAGGAGGCCCTGGGTGCCAGGGGGTCGGTGCGCCGGCACGCGTATCACCCCGTTCGAGTATACGAGGCCCGATGCGCCGGGGAAGAGCCGGAAGGGCGCGAGGAGGTCCGCTGGCTGGAGGGTCGCCTGACACGGCTGTGCCTCGGGCGTACTGCCCGTGTCCTCGTCGTCCTTGCTCGAGGATTTCGTATCCTCGGCCTCTGGGCCCCAGGAACGGCGACCCTCCTCGGAGCCACGCGGGCCTCCCCCCGCCTCGACATCCCAGCACCAGCCGGGCCTGCGAGGCTCGAGCTCCTCCTCCAAGGGGCTCCTCTTGCTACTATCCGCCAGGAGGCGGCTTATGCTGAATGGATGGCTCGGTGGCACCTTGCGCGGTGCTGGCGGGGGCGGCGAGCCCGAGCACTCCGAGCGCTGCCCGCGCGAGTCCGAGTCGTCGACGTTGATCTCCTCCGACGGCTCGGGCTCGCTGCCCTCGCCGCGGTCCGACATCCTAGAGGGGTGTTGGGGCGGCGGCTGGTTAGTGGGGAGGGGGAGTCACCTAGTGCGCGACCTAGGTGCTCCTCATCCTGGCACGGCAACGGCCTCACCGAATGCCCGCGACCCGCTGGCAGGGCATATCGCGGTCACGCGCGTTTCGATACTTTGACTTGGTGCACGCAGAGTCCTGGCCCGCGCTCGAGTGCTGGGCTGGCGGCGCCCGGGTCGGTGTCGCGCCGTGGCGCCCCTCCACGGCCTTAACGTAACAGGCCTCGCCTCCCGACACACGGACCAATGAGCGCGCGGCAAACACGCCCACCTGCCCCCGCCATTGGTCACGAGCAAATTGATACACATTTGGCGCTCGGCGCCGCTCCCCCGGAGGATGCATTATTGAGGTGGCGGTGCGGCCACCGGGCCGGGGACTTAATTACGCGGTCCTCTCGATCGACTTTTCAGGCCCGCTCGAGAGCGCACGCGAGCGGCTTCTGTGCGCAATTAGTTCGGCTTACTCGCGCCGACGCATCCGAACAAAATGGTGTCGGACGTCGAACGCCATGTTAGCCCTACGCGTATGATGATGCACCGCCGATGGCTTTTCCAGAGCCGCCCTATCTAGCCTCCTAGTGCGCTCGACTTTCCCAGGACTTTGGTATGGCAAGAGCACGCGAGCCCAAACCTGGGGCACACGCAATTATTTCATCTGCGTGAGCGAGCATGCTCGCTTCTTCCACTTGTGCTCGTCAACTTTCATTTACTACGTTAGCCTTAGCACCCACCCACCCTCCCCCACCATCCACCCTAACCGACAGACTTTGTCATTCGGCCGTCCGATTTATCATCGAATTTCCCACTCTAGTTTTACCCACTAACCGTTGCAATATCAAAGTTCTCCGTGGCCCCTTCATCCAACGCATTATTAATTAATTATTCGCCCCTTCTTGAAGCGTACCCAATTGACAATTCACTTATTGATATTTATATATCAATAATCATATCCAATGTATTTGGTAAACGCATTATTTCCATTCCTTTCCAATATCTTCAGATACATGATAAATTGCGAAATTATCATTGATGCAAGACCAGCTCTCATATTTCCATAATTAATCAGAGATTGATTTTCCAGAAAGATGCTTATTACTTATTTTCGTTTCCACTCGCTTCCGAACACTTTAATAAAAATCCACAATCGCAACGTTTTATAATCTACCCGTCTCTGTTAATCAAGATTGAAATAATTTCTCAGATTGTTCCAAGCATATGAATATTCAGATAAATTAACTTACTAATTAATTTCTTATATAATGCTCGTTGCACTAATAAACCTTTTAATAAATTTTAATTTTAATTAAAAGCGAAAACTGTATAGCAAAATAGTGATGTCTTTCAAATGCAATAAATATATATTTAAACAAAGTTACGAATTAAGCAATTTACAACAATAGCACGGCCGACAATCTACCTTTTCACTTCCTCCCTCTCCACTCCTATTCTAACTCCGTCACTCTCCCTCTGTTTTTGCGCGCGCGCGAGCGTGTGTGAATTTGTGTTGCGAGCGCGTGCGCCTGTATGAAAATTAGTTTTGCTTAATCTTAAATTTAATACTATAGCCAATTACCTTTCCTTTGGAAATTCAATTATATAATATATTTTCATTAATTGGCCATTTAAGTTAAAGAATTATTATTTATGATTTATCACATTTGTTTAATTATATGCATATTAAATTGTCCTTTCTAATATTCATATATAAGTAAATATTTGTACGCATATATTATACAAAGATTATTGTTTACTGAAATTGCAGAAATTAAAAATTTTATCATGTCAAATCTTAACGAAATGTATTGAGCGTCCATTGTCAGTATTTTCATTTTAAGATTAATGTATAGTGAACGTTATACTTAATTTTAATTCAGCTAATAATACATAATAATTTTGTTTTTTATAAATCTTAACCTGCGAATATTTCCTGCGAATGATTATATTAATGTAATAAAGCACATATGTATATTCGTGTATATGTACAGATATATCAATTTTTGTAATATTTAAAAGTCACTGTTATTCGAAAATTCAATTAATTAACTATTCTATAACGTAAAAATCAATATTTAAACCGCATTTATCATCTGACAGAATTGGAACACTTCATCCAGTATTATCTGAATTACTATATATTAACTATTTGCTTAATAATAGATTTTTATTTCTTCTGATAAAATTAATATAGTAAATATGTGATACTTAGATCAAAATTTTCTTTACATCGAAAAATTCATATGGTTATATAATTGACAAAAGATTCTTTCCTAAAATATTAGCTGAAATTACCTTATGTATAAGATTCAATATTATTTTTCCAAAAATAATCTAATTGCCCCTTATTTTAATTCTTAAATAAAAAATTAATTATTCGATTAAGATCTCTAACTTTGAAATTTCATATTTATAATTCATTTCAATTTGCACAGTAAATTACTCATTTATATAAAGAAATGTAAAAATACATTTTAGTTATTATAATTAAATTCACATTCTTTCAAAGTTATTCGATAATCGGCTTAAATTTAATTTAAAAAAATTATATTACGTTTGGTAAACTTATTTAAAAATAATATATATATTTTTCTTTTAAACACTTTTATACAAAGCATTATTTATTATCCAAGTGAATTCTGTATATTATGTGGAACAAAATAATGTATTCAATTGAAAATGTAATATAATAATAATAAAAGAGTGTTCAAACATATATTTCAATGTAACAAATTTACTGAAATATGGGTAATTTTTAGTGGTTTTAGCGGCTTGAAATAATTTGTTTTCATTAAAGCATATTTCATACTTTAAAATAGATAAATATCATTTTTGAAATACTTTTGTTATAAATAATTTAAATAAATAATTGATAACATGGTATAATGAAATCGTTAAAAGAATGGATACTATATTATACACACAAACTTTATTTAAATTTGATTACTGTTATTATTATTATTTTTTTTTTTTAAATAACAATGTATAAATATTAAATAAGATTATCCTAACAAATAATATAAAATATATATATATATATATATATATATATATATATATTTATATAATACTTCATAATTTTTCTCTTGGAAAAATTCACTTGTAGTTAAAATGCAATAATAAAAATAAACTACAATTACTACAAATATAATATAATTTATATAAAATATAACATATTTAAAAATTTATTTATTAAAGTTGTATGATACAGTTTTGCATTCTATCTTAATTTGTCGATGAGTATTTTAGTTTAGCCGTCGGCAACTGCCTTTATAATAATAATAAAATTTTTTCATTATTATATGCTTTTGATTCTATTAAGTAATAGATTTGGTTCTATAAAGTAAAAGAAGTTCTTGAGCTACATTTATTACAAAATAAACATAAAATGAGGAGTCTATTGTTGATTTTGCGTAAAATTAGATGCGATCCGTCGCTTTTACAACATTTAAATTCAGTCGCGAATGTAAATAATATAGACGACTTCAATGTAACATTTGTCCCGCTCTTGTAAATTTATAAAAATTCGATTTTGCATTATCGATAATGCATCGTTACATCGAGAATAAACCGTGAATGACTTATTTACTTTTGAAGCCAACCACCGTCTTTTGGACTACTATCTCTTCCTAAAAAACAAAAAATAAGTAGAAGGAGAAGGAGGAGGAGGATGAGGAGTAGAATGGAGAGAAGAAAGAAAAAATGATCGTTGATAGCTAACGAGAGAAAATGGGCAAATGGAAAAGGAGGAAAGGAAAAAAGAAGCCAGAGCATGTTTGCTCGTGCACATCAATTGTTCGACATTGGCAAAAATGAGGATCTCGGTCCATGTAACGGGAAAAGACGAGTTAATAAGGGGCCTTAAGTGATTGAATATTTCGATCGGCCATTCAGCCCTTTGACAGAAGTAATAAACCGCGCGCGTCAACAATGAGAAACGCGTTGGCTCGACAAACGCCAGCAAGTCCATTGCCAGATCGCGTTCACTGCGCAGTCGTCTCGTGTCTCGTTCTGCACACACGCACATACACGCATGCATCCTAGACGTACGTGTAATCATGAATCTTGTACGAGTTATACGTTGCGGTAACAAAACAATCTGCCGCTATAAGAAAATTGCGGGACGCAAGCGCACACGTAACCCCGATTACAATTTACTCGCCTGCCTTCTCATTTGCTTTGCCTTTATTCGCAGTTCGACTCGAGAGGATTTTTTCTCCCAATTTTATCACGGTATTGCCGACTTCTTTAATATCATCTGATCATTTTCTCTCGAGATATTATTTGAATGGCTGCCAAACGCGATTCCGACTTGGCCAAACGGTCCTCCCTATTCACTAACGTCCCTTAATGTCGTCACTTAAAATCACTGTTGAGCGTTGCAATGTAATCTACACACGTTTTAACCCAATTCTTTACATGTCATTTTGATGTAATTTGTGTATAAAGTGACATAAGCTCTCTTCATACAATACGATGATATTAATAATATTGAAATATTTAGCGAGAGAGATATTATTTTCACTTACGAATATACTCAATGAATATTAAAAAGCCTTTCGTCGCTTTTCTCTTACCTAGGATGCCTCTCAGCCTTGATAATTCAATTTCAATGCGAAAAAATATCATAAAAATCTTTTTTTATCCTAGACCGACGCTTTGCATTCAACTATAAAGTATTATTCAATTATTTTATACACCACGTTACGTATAATTTATAGAAAAATCGATAATATAGATTGCGTAATCAACTTTATAGATTACTGTTTAAACAGCCCTAATTTTACGCAAGTTAATAATAACGTTTATTAATACTATAGGAATTGGGAAAAGTTCTTTGGCCTCTGGGCATTATTTAAATAAATGCTATTTCTGTTGGGAAAATCGAATAATGTTTCTCTAATCTGCATATTTCATGATCTTGTACTTTTCTTGGTAAACCGAGACCCGACATAAAAATATAAACGAAATTTAAATTTTTCGCGTAGAACATTATCGATAATCACTTACTTATTCTACGTTCTATTGTGTGAACTACCTTATCAAATATATTATTTTCATTTACCATTATTGAGACAGTATTATTGTACCATCAACGGCCTATATAACGCCTAATTCATTAAAAATAATCTTAGTTCACATGCTAT